CGCCACGTCACAGTGTTGTTAAGCAGACATTTGTGCTTTTTTATAGGGAGAACGCTTACCAGGCGAATCCCACCACGTCCTGGAACACTGCCGCCAAACTATTTGCTGGAACGGGTTAAAACAAAACCACCCAGCTGACACCACGAGGAGGTTGTTCGGCTAGCCAGCCAGAGACTGTGAAGAGACCCAATGTTCATGTTGGCGATTAGACTTACCACATGAGGATTTTCCTGCTGCTAGTAAGGTCTGGTGAATATGAGACCAGTGAGCTTCAATTGCATCCAGCGAGCGTTTATCCAACTCGCATGACAGCGTACTTTGATACGCATTCAGAACAGCTGGCTTTGCCAGTTGGCTGGTGTCATTGCTGTCACAACGTCGTCGTGGGCGTCCGCCAAAGCGCATCCGCAGGTCAGCACACACTATTGCATGGTAGGTGTCCACACATGTGCTCCAAATCGAGCGACAGTTCTGGACGCAGCCTCTCCAGCGGTAACTTATCGCAATGTGATCGATTTGCGTCCAAGGCTGGTTCGAGGCTGGTGGGTGCCAAGTCACCGTCCGGCGGGTGCTGTGTCTGAAATTAGTGCTCGTAAGAAACAAGCGAGCACCTTCACACAAATGAAGTAACCGCTCACCGTTATCAGTACGGGAGCCTACACCGTGCTGACCAGCCCAGATGTAGTTCATTAGTGGACATCTTTCCAACTTGTGCGTTCATATCCCCCGTCAGCACAACAGTGTCCGTGCTTCTTCTGTGGCGAAGGAGCTGGGTCAGTTGGCGGTAGAAGTCGTTCTTTACCGAATCAGCGCTACAGTTTGTGGGCGCATAGGCAGCGATGATGAAAAGACATCTACTAGTCCCGCGCGACTTCGAAGCTTTGAACGAGCCAGACAATTGGACCGCACACATCCGGCTACTGACTGGAATCCAATCAACCAGAGCAGCTTCAGCCCGGGGACTCAGGGCAATGCCAACACCAGCTTGGCCGGTGCTCGAAGCTGCATCGTCACCGGATAGGCGCAAGCAGAAAATACTGCTTGCGTCACCTGAAGGGGATCGCAGAGTGAGCACAGTGCTCGAGTCTAGCAGGCGAGTCTCTGATAAGCAGCAGATATCGATCGAGAGTGTCTCCAATGTTCGGGCAAGTGCTGCCAGTTGACCGATCTATAGGAGTGTGCGTACATTGAGGCATGCCAATCTGAAGGATGATCGAGGGCTCCAAATGGAAGCCGATGAACTGGAACGGACCGCTTGGTTGGACATGGGCTTGTCGACAGGAGAGGAGTGACGCTCCGCGTTCACATGTGAGTTGAAATTAGAAGATAAATGCCTAGCAAAGCATGTTGGGGGAGGCCAAGAATCGGGGGCTGAAAACTAGGGGGATATAAGTGAAGTTGGAAGGGGACGGTAAGAGAGAAAAAGCGTAAGATGGGGAATAAGAAGACGGGAAGGCTTGAGAAGTAGCATCCAAACCCCAATCCACCCTGCTCGATGCAGCAGATAGGGCACCGTTGATTATCCGCTGCGGTGGCCAGAGCATCAAGAAATTGTTTGAAGGAAAATTCATAGTATTGCGTGGGCAGGATACTGTCAGGTTGCCCAGGCCTAGACAGGTGACTACACCATACCGAATGTGGAATCCATCCAACCCAAGCTGACTTAGTTAACACCAGACTCACAAACGCCTAGTAAGCAAACGGAACTTAGTTACTGCAATGAACGCTGTGCACCGGGCAGAGTTTTCATGAGATCCTTAAACCATGACATCTATGTCGTTAACAAGGTGGGTTAGAGAGGCGGCCTAAATCAATGCCACCCATCCGAAACTAGTAGAGACATTCAAGTAGACTTAAAATGATCATATCGCAAGCAGAACAAGTCAAACAGTGACCAACATTCGCACATTGACTGTATAGCCGTTGTGTGTTTTCGAGGTTTATGAGAAATGCGTAGCACTTCTGCCCAGTTAGTAGGTGTAACGTCCACCGATTGAACGCTGTGTGGCATGTAGCCAGTGATCCCGAAATCAAAACAAAGTTGGATCGCAACAACTACGTGTCACTCAACGTTCAATCGGTAGACGTTACAGTACACAATTATTAGAGATGCTCGTTTTGGCAGTACTCGATCTAGGAGTACTCAATTTGGAAGTACACAATCACCGACATTTAACCCAATGTTGAATTCGTGGAACCTTTCGCAATGCCAAGTACTCGGTCGACGAAGTCCGCGGACGGGATGGAACAATCGAGGCAAGTCAACTTTGATGCTGTTTCTCACTCTGGCTCTCATGTTAGCACTAAGGCCGCTAGACTTAAGGCGTGATCATAGCTTTTGTTAGCGGAATTAAGACAGAAGCAGATTAAGGCCGTTGGAACTGGACGCTAAACAGTTCGAACTTAGGCAACACCGCGAATTGCTCATGGTAATCCAGGCAGTGGAGATGGCTAGGCTTGAGGTCGTTTTAGTAGAGGAACTTAACGCTAGATTATCGATTCCTGACTTGTCGAGAGATAATTTGCCACAGATTGATACTTATATTGACGACTGCGTAGCTGCTGCTAAGACGAACCCAGCGGTAGAGACAGATACTGAGCCAGGTTACCAAGTAGCTGACATGACTGCAGCATCTGTAAGCGGGGATCGAATCCAAGACCCATATCGTGTGCATCAATGTTCTTTGCCTGCAACAATGAGGGTTGGTGCTAATTGCCAAACCAAAGCTACTAGTTGTGATAAACCGCAACCTCGGAAACCAATGTTAAGCAACTTGAGAGGCTGGTTGGAACATTTATTCTTCATTATTTCGTGGTTGTGTAACTCTTTCGTTTGGCCGTTTTTCAAAATCTGCTTTCACTCTAACCGCCCATTTTCAGAATAAAATGTCCTCGCAACGGATTGCAACCGAGCTATCAGTGTGTGACCACAGGCAAGCACACTCCGCTGAAATGCATAAAAGCGGTTTTTGAAGGTGACTCTCCTCTTCTGATGATTCAGATCGGGCCTACCCTACAAAAAGCAGCTTTGACATCAACTTTCTTTTGGTCATGGACTCAGATGAACAGAACTCCACTCCGGCGCGAAGGGGCTAGCATAGACAACCTAGAAGAAGATTTCACGGAACACTGAACCAACATGACTTGCCTCCAAATCTCACAATGTGATGCATGTACCATACTGTCAGTGGAAGTGTTTTATCACTGTCATCAAATACGTTGGGTGCAAACCGCCCATCCCCATATGTACCCATTTGGAGATCCTAAAGCGTGTGTGATTATGGATCATCCGGAAGTGTGAAAGAATCCGGGACTGCTCCCTCCTAATACTGTTGACGTGTACAGTTTTCAGTTAGACAGAATTTGCAAAAAATGTCGAAGTTTAGTTGGTTATCATGCATTGTTATCCTCGAATCGGGTGAGCAAACTGGTGCGTTTATCTGCGTCAATTTCAAGCCTGTCTAAGGAGAATCTGACTAGGTTCCTGAGAACGCTGGAGGGAGTTCGACCAGCAAATGCGTACAGTCCTCTCCGACGCTCTAGCAAATCTTGATACCCCATGAAGTACGTTTCAGAGGTTAAAAGCAGAGACTTAAGCTTTGGAGACGGTGTGGATACCGGCGACCGACAGCCAAGAAACTATCTGTGATATAGCAACATCGCATCGTCTCTGCTTTGCGTGTTACCGCCGTGAAGAGACCTAGGCAGCCCACCGAGCAACGCCTTCCCGCATTTAGCCTACCGACCAGAGTTATGAATGCTCTGCGTAGAGTGGCGTTTACCGGATAACTGAGATGCATCACACTTACATCCAAACGGGTACACTCCAACCCGGCAGAAGTGGTGCGCATTTCCAATAAGCCCCGGAAAAGCAAATTGGCTTTGTGATCATTTTGCGAATGTCGGTCACTGTTTGACTTGTTCTATTTCTGGTACTATCATTATAAACTAATTTGAATGCCCGTACTTCTTTCGGATGAATGGCTATGAGCTAGGTCATCTCACTATCCCCCCAATACTCTCACCCCTTCTTACCGAGATTTGCGTCATGGTTTGACGATCTCATAAGAGCTCAACCCCTTGCATGACGCTCATTCCAGTGGCGGCGTGTTAAACCAACCCTTCCATTTGCTTACTAGGCTGGTGTTGAATAAGTCAGCTTCGGTTTGAGTGCTTTCACCTTCGGAACAGTGTAGTGCACGACCTTTCGGATCAAGAAATTTGGATACTTTAACGAATGTTTCATGAAACTCTAGCGAATTCTCCCCTTAGATACGAATTCAAATGAATGATGTGTGTTAGGCAATTGCATACATGCTTTCTGGATCATGACAATAGTCATAATATTAATAAGTTTAAACCAGTAGTATACGGTGTTGTTGCAGAACTTAATCCTTACTGGACAAGTGTTTACTCAGCAGTCAAATCAGTCGAAAGTATAGCGCGTTTGAGACAAAGCGTCTGGAAATGTATTGCCCGTCTACTTCCACAAACAACGACCTTTTTGAGCCGATGAGGTTCCTCCCGTGGTTCAGCTAAACAAACGACGAAAAACTAACCGCAGCGCACGCGGACAATGCCTCGTCAGCTTTTAATGATCGGATACGCCATGTTTGTCTCGCTGTGGCTGGCTCCCTTGATCCAATTCTTTTCTCTGATTGAACGCTGCCGTTACAGGCGTGTTAAGCAGATGCGCGAAAAACAGTACCAACCATTGGCACAATGCAATCTGCACAAGTATGCTCATGGTGTTGGTTAGAGAGATCACGAATGTCAACCACACAGCAGCACGTGAAAATCGATCGATTTCCAGCGCGTGTGTTTGTATGTGAGCTTGGAACTTTCAGCCAACCACATGGCACGTGAGCATCAATTGGTTTCGACCAAGTATGTAGTTAACGGCTTTCCCGCACAGTTGGTTGTAACATCAGTTGTGCAAGTAAGCCTTTTTAAGCGGTGTCGATTCTGTCTTCTTACTACTAAACAGTCTGGCGACGGAGATGGTTGATCAAAATGTTATCATGCAAATGTTACAAAATCAGCAACGCCAATTGAATCAACAGCAGAAATTATTTGAAGTTCTCGCACGAAAATTTTCAGCACACAAATCAGAGGTTCCAAACGTCAGAAGTGGTACTCAACTCAAAGTTGCATTGGCCAATGGAATTCAAGAATTCAGTTACGACCCAGACAGTGGCAATACATTTTTAGCTTGGTACAAGAGATATGAAGACATTTTTATTGTCGACGGTTCAGCATTGGATGAATCAGCAAAAGTACGGCTGTTGATGCAAAAACTTGGATGTTCTGAACACACAAGATATTGCAATTATATTCTACCAAAACACCCAAGAGATTATACTTTGCAAGAAACCGTGGAGATTACCATAATTTTTGGAGAGCGGACATCTATATTTAACGTTCGTTATAATTGTTTAAAGCTTACTACAACAGACGAAGACATTGTGACATATGCAGGTAGAGTGAACATGGAATGTGAAAGGTTCCAATATAAAAGAACGTCGGACGATCAATTTAAAGCATTGATTTTTGTGTCTGGCTTAACATCGCCTGCGGATTCCGATATCAGAACAAAATTACTATCAAAACTGGATTCTAGTTTGACATTTCCTTGCACGATTTAACCACGGAATATCTCAGAATGATGAACCTAAAGCGTGATTCACAAATGTTACAGTCAAACAACTGTTATTCAGACATGACTTCTGTTGATAAAATTACCAAATCACAAGTGGAACAGAACAGATTTCCAAAGCAAAGAGGCTGGTTTCAACGACCACCTACACCATGCTGGAATTGTGGCGCCTGGCACTTTGCACGCTTTTGTGAATTTCGATTCCATAAATGTCAAGATTGTGGCACATTAGGTCACAAGGAGGGACACTGTGTCCGTTTGTTCAAGCAGCACCAATCAACCCGATTCAGAAGGCAGTCAAATCTAGTGTCCACTACATACAGTTCTCGTGGGAGGCATGTCCGAAAGTTTATCACGTTATTAATTAACAGTTTACCAGTTACCTTACAAATTGACACTGCTTCCGACATAACAATCATTTCATATGCGACTTGGAAAAGCATTGGCGAACCAGAGTACTGTGTTACAAAAGGTATTGCTCGGAACGCTTCTGGCAAGCCAATCGCCTTTTTGGGACAATTAAACTGTGAGTTCACATTTCGAAACAATAAATGCAGTGGAACATGTTACATTGCAGCAGAAAATGAACTAAATTTATTAGGCATTGAATGGATGAATGAGTTACAATTATGGGATGTTCCAATCAGTTCAATTTGTGATTCCCAAACTCAGAGCATGCGAAATGTGCCTTCAAGTGATGTCGCAACTGTTGATACAAAAGTGAAAAATGATATTTTGGCAAACTTGCAGGAAAAGTATGCTAGTGTTTTCAAACCAGAACTTGGATTGTGCACCAAAGTTCGGGCTACTTTGTATGTCGCACCTGAAGCAAAGCCAGTATTCCGTCCTAAAAGGCCAGTACCCTACTCAGCCGTCCCATTGGTTGATGCAGAACTGAATCGCTAACCAAGGTTAATTATTCAACCTGGGCTACTCCCATTGTGGTAGTTAAGAAGGCGAGTGGCACAGTAGGTATTTGTGGCGATTTTTCAACTGGACTAAACGTTGCACTTCAGACTCACCAATACCCATTGCCAATTCCGGATGATTTGTTTGCGCAGTTAAATGGTGGCAAAATATTTTCAAAAATTGACCTTTCTGATGCCTATTTACAAGTCGAAGTTGATGAGGAATCAAGACAGTTTCTCACCATTAATACTCATAAGGGTCTATATCAATACAACAGACTGCCGTTTGGAATTAAGTGTGCTCCGGCAATTTTTCAACAAGTAATGGACACAATGCTAAACGGGTTGTCTTTTGCTATGGCTTACATGGATGACATAATAATCGTAAGCGCTTCAGTTGAGCTACATCAGGCACACCTAAATGAAGTGTTTGACAGGATCAGGAGTTTCGGATTTACGCTGCGAATCGACAAATGTGCGTTCTTCATGTCTCGAATTTCGTATCTTGGTTCAATCATTGATGCCAGTGGTCGTCGTCCTGATCCATCATAAACTATGGCAATCCAACAACTACAAGTGCCAAAGGACAGGAAAACACTTCAGTCATTTTTGGGACTAGTTAACTATTACAATAACTTTGTCCCTAATATGCACTCGCTAAGGATGTCACTAAATGTACTCTTGAAAACTAATGCAAATGGGTATGGTCCCCAGCTTGTCAGTCGGCATTTGATGAAATAAAGCGCATTTTAACTTCTGATCTTGCACTTACACACTATGACCCCAAACTACCTATCATAGTTGCTGCTGACGCTTCAGAGTACGGGATTGGAGCAGCACTCTTGCACCAGTTTCCGGATGGCAGGCAAAAAGCGGTCAGTCATGTTTCACGCACGCTAACAACAACTGAACGGAATTACAGCCAAATTGAAAAAGAAGGTTTAGCAATTGTGTTTGCAGTCAAAAAGTTTCATAAGATGTTGCATGGTCGGAAATTCACGTTATGCACTGATCACATACCCCTTTGGTACCAAGAAAGGAATTCCTGTTCACACCGCAAATCGCCTGCAACCTTGAGCAACAATACTTCTCGGATACGAGTTTGTCATTACACACATCCGTTCGGAATGCTTTGGCCATGTTGACACCTTATGGCGCCTGATTGCTAACAGATCAAATTCGCAGCCACATGAAGACACGGTCATTTCATCAGTTGAAGTTGATGCTTGGATAAAAGTTAGCTTTGAGGAGTCTATACGAAACTTACTAGTTACGCACAATGACATTTGTGAGTCT